ATCCTTCTAACTATATTAAAAAATGCTTTGTATAAAGATAAGTGATGTTTTCAATATTTTAATATCAGATTCTTCCGTAATAAGTCTTCTGAAAAGAAGGACGCACATAAACACGGGATAAATAAAACCAATATCGTCTTAACAAAGATGCAAATTGTGTGACATATAGAGATCTCCATTGTGTCCCACAGTGTCTGGAATTCTCCAACTTCTCGTCAGAGTTTAATTAAACATTCCACGACGGAGTGGAATGCGCGCGTAGTGCATTTATCCTCTCTCTACTAAATCGAAAACACTGTTAACGTGTGTGGTAATGACTCTTTTTTCGAAGATTCTGCAAGCCACGTAAATCGTTTTTGAAAGCATAAATTTTATATTACAGAGATTGAAAAGCCGTTTTAAATCTTTCACCGGAAGTCTCCCGTGGGAAATTTTCATTTTATGGTACATGTTGTCAGTAAAATTAATATTTATGCTTACGCTAGTCTATTTATCCTTAAGAATCAAGTTAAATAAAACCATTCGCTAAGATAAATCACGACTAAATAAAACAAAATAAAGAAGTAGATATAAATCAATAAAGTTAAATTAAATATGTAGAAAGTAACCAAATCATTTGTGGCCTAGCACTCAATAAAACCCACTCGTTTTGTCGGTAATATGTACCTAATATGATCTATAAATGCTACTTTTTCTTAAAATTTTCACTGCAAATATCTTATATTTTTTTTAATGTTCAGAAATGTTTTCTCTTTTGAATCTGACCATCAATTTTCAGTTTTGAACTCACAAAGAAAGTTTTGACCTCGCAAAATGTTAAATTCTGATTTTATATAATGAAACTTTTTATATATACATGTTACATAAATAAACGAATTTAGAAACTATCAGTTACGGCGAAAAAACGATTTTAAGGAATAAAATCACCTCAGAGATAGTGGTTAGTTTTTTTACGTCTCAAAGACTAAAATAAAAAGACTTCTAAATAAATTCTTCTAATTTTATGAATGTTAATTAGCTCCTTTAAAGTGTAGTTCTTTTAGAAAAAATCGTAATACATAAAGTATATTAATATTAAAGATTTGCTGGACTTTTTAAGAGACAAATATTTATATATACGAAGCAATATATACATTTTTAAGTTTTCCATCAAGCTGAAAATTTCTAGTATACTTTGACGCCGTATTTTTAACACAATTACCTCGAGTATTTCCTATTTTGATGTGTCGCCATGCTGCTTTCAAACGAACGATAAAAACTCATTCACGTCTCTTTGTTTCAGTTTTATTGAACTCAACTTGTATTAGCTTTCGAATAACAAAGAGGTTTTCTATAGCTTTTAATATCATTGATATTGAATAACATATTGATTCTTTCTTTGTTATTGAAAAAAAAAAACGCGAGAGAATGCACGAGAAACACAAAGAGTCAATATTAATTATAAAGGTATATTTCCCATTTTCCGAATACCTGTCATGTCAATTAAATATCGCGTCAATTAAACATCAATTGAACATCAAATAAACATCAATTAAATATCTAATAGGTTTTTAGCCTTTTAGTGTTGTCTAATATATTTCAAATTTGCACTTTTTTATATTTAGTTATTTTATTTATCACTTATATCTTATTTTAATTTTCTTTAAGTTTCTTTATGTATTTTATATATCTTTTAATATATTTTTTCTATTTATTTATACTTTCTTTCCATGTAACTTTCAGTTTATTTCTTTTAGCATCATTAACGTTTATTGTTACCATCGTATATCTTATACTACATTTTTTAATTTCAATTTATTTAACTTTAGTTTTTAGGTTCAGATTTAGGCAACATTTTATTGTTCTCCTTTTGAGTGTGCATCTCTCTTTTTATTTTGCGTTATGTATAATTATTGCTGTATAATTTCATTTCTTTATACTTACTGCACTCCATTAAAGTTACTATTATTATTATTATTTTAGAAAAATTTTACCGTTTTTGTTAATATAACCGCAATCAAAAATGTTCCCGTTGAAATTATTCCAACATGTAATGAGATTTTTCCCGGAAATCTAATGAGCACGTGCATAGATTCGTATCGTATTCATCTCATTGTGAACTATATTTCTACTCAACCATATCGAAGCGCGATTAATATCTGAGGAAATTTAACTAACGAGTTATCGATCAAACCAATAAGATAGAGTACTTCGCCGGGGGTGATAATCGACAAATCACAACCTGCGGCGCTAATGACGGAAATCTGGTTTAAGTCAATTTCTCGCTCGAGGCGATAGGAGCAAACGATTTCTCATCCTGCGGATCGAAGCATTAACGTAGGTTGCGGTGCGAAAATATTCGTAGGTGTTTCAATATCCGTTTTATTTCGAGGGAATGGATGTAAGTACGGCTGAAAAAATCGTGCAAGGACGTGGAGAAAATGTCATTTATTCGATACAAAATGCGAACATGATTGTGCATGTCGCGACTAACCATTTCTTTTTTCTTTTTTGCTTATCCTTACCACTCGCAGCGATGTAAATCGACTAAATAAAGCTTCGCGCTTATTTTCGATTGGAGTCGACTTACGGACTGCCTAATTGGTCAAGTCAATTGTACCTTAGAGAGTAACTATAGCCGAGTCTATGGGAAGAGAAAGAACGCTTATCCACATTTCGAATACTCACACACACAGAGAGATCTACGTGCCTATAGTATATCATCCTTCGAGACCTATCGGATGAGCCATAATGTAGGAAAAGTATATAACTCTGTAAACTAAGACGGATAAATTTCACAAAACTCCAACAGGATCTGCATTCACACACATTGAGTAACTTCCGCTTATTGAATAAATATACTTACCCGTTTTTATTTTACAATTTCATAGAAGAAAAGCTAAAATTGCGTAAAAGATTCACAAATAAATCCTTTGTTGCTAACATCGGGCGCGTCATTTTCGAATTTAAATCTGCATACGTATAGCCTTGGCCAAAAATATTGGGCACCTATTGACCATTATTTACAATTTTAGCTTAATAATTAATTTATAGCATTTATTGTAAATAATTCTGTTTCGAGAATCCTTTGAATTTCTGTATAATACCGATAATCAATAGTAACAATGCAGGTAACAGAATTCCAGATAAATGAAAAAAATATAAATGCCTGATATTTTTAGCCGAGGCAATATTTCTCTTAACCTGATTATATTTAAATTTTATGCATATACGCAATCTAATAATGCGATAATTTTGTACGCGCTCGCCCGATGCATTTCAACAAGTTCGAGATGCGTAGAAAAGGAGGTCGGGAGTATCGATTGATTTTGTACGCATGTGGTATGTAACGTGAATCTCGTCGTTAACAATGCGGTCTCGTTGGTTGCGCGCATCGAAAGCGGCAAACCGAGCGCGAATTGGACGCGAGATACGCCATAAAAGTAGTGATATCAAATTAGCCATTTATCGTTAACGAAAGTCGATACGATACATTCATCTACGCGCGAAAAATTCAGCGGAAGGAACGACGCGCTACGTGGTCGAGAAAATATTCGTTTCTTCGAATATCAAGTGCTATTAATAAAATTACAACCCTCTAGATCTCATGCGGAAGTATAAACGTCGCTCCTTCGCGTGTCGGAGCTCGAGTAAGGCTACGATGGGCGCAGTTAACTAATCCGGTAAAAAGCTTTCTCACCTACGTTTCGCAATCTCTCTCATTACTGATACAACGCTGACACTTCTCGACTTCTCACTCACGATCGCGTAAATTGATCTATTCTTCACGAGGATTCTTTGTTGAGGATAATTCCGATAAAAATTTGTACCTAATAAGAGGAATACACGCTCTCTTTCGTGCGATTCGATCATCTCGCTGCCATCGGAGAACCCACCGATCGAATGTCAAACGATCTTGTCCACATTACTCGAGGTATCGATTTCCCGTTTAACGTTTGATCGACAACGATTAATTAACGTAACGGCTTACTCCCCCTCCTCTCTCTCTCTCTCTTTCTCCCTCTCTCTCCTTCTATCTCTTTCTCTCGCTCGGTCGCATCTTATAAGTTAATTATACGTGTTACCTTCGGGACATTACGCTAAAGCTATATTCCATTAATTAATTAAGGCGAGTAGCGTGGTCGGTTTAAATATGATTTCCCCTTGGCGATCTTCGTTCGCGAGTACTCGCTTCGCTTCTTTCACCGTCTTTGCGGTGAAGTCTGACAATTGTAAACCTGCAAGTTTCAACCGCATGATCCACATTATTTATAGTAGGGTTTCCGTTGGACAAATTTAGTTATCTCTGTTTTTCTCGCGAAATATGTATGTACATATAAAAGGAGATTATTTTATTAAAGGATTTAAATAATGATAATAAATGCATTAATTATAGAATACCTCGTGTAATCTAGTAAAATTATAATAAACAAAGATGCGAACGTTATGATAATAAGATTTTAGGCAATAATAGTAAACCAATTATAATAATTTAATATAAGCAGATAAGAATACTTGGTGCAAGTTAATAAAATTATAACAGAGAAAGATGCAAATGTTATGATAATAAGATTTTAAACAATAATAGCAAACGCGTCAATTATAATAACTTAATATAAGCAGAGATAGAACCTCGTGCAATCTAGTAAAATTATAATAAACAAAGATGCAAATGTTAGATAATAAGATTTTAAATAATGATAATAAACGCGTTAATTATGATAACTTAATACAAGCAGGGATAAAATGGCTCGCGTGTAATCTACTCTTACTAAAATTATAATAGATAAAGAAAAAAACAAATGTTATGATAAATAAGAAAATTTTTAATAATAATAGTAAATGTGTCAATTATAATAACTTATTTTAATATGAGTAAAGATAGAATATTTCGTTCAATCGCAATAAAATTATACAACCGACAAAGACGAAAATATTAAGATAAATAATAATACTCGTTCCCTCCCACCCGCCCGAAGATCGCTCTCAAACGCGTTATCATATTTCTAGAGATTTGTCCGCGTGCGTGAGAATCGTTTGCAATATCACTGTATCGAGCAGGCCTTCCTGGACTCCGTTCTTCCTGTTCTAAGTGTGATCCTGGATCCTGGCGTATTGTTCTCGTTCCCGGCCGCGAGCGAACACGTCTTCGTCCGCATGATCATTAAGTCCGTCCTTATGCTGGGACGGCGCACGTTCGGCGCCACGACGCCGCAAGCGTCGCTCAGTCGACGCTTTATACTGAGGGTGGCTTTGTGTCGTGGCTGGAAACAAAAGCGTCTTTTTTTTAGGCCTTTTAACCGTCCTTCGATATCACGAAAAGTAATCCGCGTTTAATCGATCATGATGAGATCCCAAACGAACAATATCGTTCGTCGTTCCACTCTTTGTCAGCTCTAATCGGATTTCAACTACAGAATCGATTAATTAATTTTAAAGAAGTTACATTGTAACGAATTACTTTACGCCATATCGAACTCTATATTGAACATTATTACGTACCTGCGATGGCGGCAACATGGTCGGCGAGCCAAAGGTGAGCGGTACTTTTCTATGATGATTCGGAGCCATCTCAAGAGGTAGACCGGCCACTACGAATAATTGATAAAAAAGTTCGTCCACGTGATAGTTTCGCTTCGCAGAAGCCTCCACAAAGATACAGCACTCGTCTTGACTCACGCAATATTGCTCGGCCTCCTCCACCGTAACCGTTCTGTAACGAAATAAAAGACTTGTCAGTAAAGTCATTATATGATTCAGGTCTGGTTGTTCCACCTTCAGACAAACTACGTGGTAATTTATCTAATGGACAAAAGAAAGAATGAAAGGGAGAGAGAGAGAGAGAGAGAGAGAATAAAAACAAGAGCGAGAGAGCAAGTAAGCTGAAATTTATTGAAAGATGGAACAACCCAGTATCAAAGACGCAACGATAAGGTGATTCAGTTATCTGGAGAGACCAAAGATTTCGGAAAACGAAAAAACGTACTTTACATCTTTATCACATTTGTTTCCCACGATGACCATAGGGACCTTCAAACTATAGTGAGCCCTTCTGCTCTTCGTGGCACTTTGGGTCGCGCTCACTTTAGTCTCGAGAATTGCCTCTCTCAGCCTGATGGCTTCTTCGAAGGACTCCCGACAGTCCATGCTGAACACCACGACGAAGAGGTCCCCTGCGAAATCGGTTATCGTGTCGAAACTAGCGTGTCGATCGTCGCGTATGTTCGATCACACAGCGAGTATTTATCCTCAGAACGCTGAGTATTAACCCTGCGGAGCTGATGTGAATTTATCGAATCTATTAGTGGTTGTTTAGATAACAAAAAATTTGATGAATAAAAATAATTCAGCTTTCTTTGTGAAGTAATATTTAAGATAAAAAAATACATTATTATATTGGAATTTACTGTTAGAGTTCTTAATTCTTGTCTCTACACAGAAAGAACAGTTTTGCTGAAGAATCTAAAAATTTTATTACCGGTCTGCATATTTTTATTTGGACCATCAAAATCGTTATGTAAGACGCTCAAACTGATTGATAGAATTAAAAAATTTTGTAACATTATCATCGATTAAGTGCTTTACATAATTATTTTAATAGTCTAACAAAATTATTTTTTGTTAGACTATTTTATTTTTTGCCGAAGAAGTTTGTATCGACAGTCATTGTAAATTATTAATATACAATATTATGTTATATTTTTTATGAATATTATGAATATTTTTTGACGATTATATGCCTCTCATTGCTCGTATACTCTATTGTTATTTTTAACAAAATTATTTTCAGATCTGTATCTGTAGCTAAATTTTTAGATATTTGAGCAAAATTGTTCTTTCCGCGTATTATTGTAACAATTTTATTTTTTACACAAAAATATCAAATAATTAAATTTTTTTATGTTACATCTGCAAATTTGATTTTCTGTGTTATCCGCAAAATTGTTTATATTTTAATTAAAATAAACTTAGTGTTTATTTTTTATACGAAATATATCATCCTTAAAATTTATTAGTAACTTTCAATCAATATATATTTAATAGGTCTCACAGACCCAGCGTCAGTATATAATAGTTAACACTATATAACAGATTTTAACGGTCAGCTCTGGAGGATTATGAATAAATACACGAACGTATTAAATGTATATATTCTCAAATTTACGTAATGGTTTTCACTGGGGCACGTATGCCAACACAGCTTTGAATTTTCAACCCTCTCTCGCATGCCCCTTTCTCACCGCTATTACATGCGACATCGGTTGCAATTATTAACCGGACGGAAGTCGCTACACGCCATTGCATATGGACTAATTATAACGGTCACGCGAGTCACATGCGCGACACGCGTGTATCACGGATTATGAATATTTATCTTGACGGATTTATTTTCACGGAGGCGCGGCCTATGTATTTATAAATCCACCTTGATGACGGTACAGAGAATGGCGTAACGATTCCGGGTCTCGTGTCTATGAGCAGCACTGTTACCGTTTGTTTCCGACAAAAACGCGCCACGAACAAAAGGGCGAGTAGAATCAACTGGCCGTTCTTGTGGACGGACAAAAAGCTTGTCCAATGAGAAACTCGACGAATCGAGTGTATAGAACATAAGCTTGGTAATAACGTCGCTTCGCCAGCAAACCGCTCTACTTGGTTTTATTATCGCATATCCTCTCGTTAAAAGATACCACTAAGTGTCGTACATAACAATAACGTTGTCATTAATTGTACGTTAATGTTTATAGATTCTTAAAAGACCTCAATTCATTCCCACGTTTTGCCACCAGGAATTTATCATTAATAATCATTAATATCATTAACATTATTATTATTATAAATTTAGCAATTATAATTATACTAATTAATAACGTGGAATTATTATATTATTATATATCGTTAATAATTTCATTAATTTTATTTTCCTTATTAATTTTGTATGAAACGCGACAGATACCTTTATATATATTATATATATATATATATACAGGGTGTTTCCAAATTAAATGGCAAAACTTCGGG